AAATCCAACATGGTGTCACATATCGCTCCTGTCACGTGCCTGATTTAAAGATTTCTCCTTAAGAACCAACAGCACTCTGAAATAATTATGTTGAGTCGTTGGCTCGTATTTGTCTAAGGGATATCCCGTGGCCAATATACGCTCAACTTATTTCAGGAGTAGGGCAACTCAAGCTTTGGCACTACAAAATATATAATATTCCTAGGCACACTTGGCTGGACACCCCCACTACTATAAAAAGGTAGCGCCCAGGTAATGATAGTATACTATCATAACCATGTTAACAACACAGATGAAGATTATTAATTGAACATACATGTATTTTAGACAGCTAAGAACAATGAATGAGTGACACTCCAGTCAATAGTGAAACTTGAGAAATACTGTAATTAGTGTAACACATACATTATATAAGAATCAGCAAAGAACTTCAAAAACCCAGAGTGATATGAAGGACCAAAACTTTAAACTCGATCTGACTGAACGTGTATGAATGTTCCAGAGTCTGCCTAGATCATCCTTATGATGAGTGTGGACATTTAATAGTGAAGCCTGGCAATAAACCCATGATTGCCAACACTTATCTGAATCCCTGGTTTCTTGAACTGGCTGGATGTTCAGTCACTCTGTTGTTACGTTCAAGACAGTCCCACACTAGACACTCGAACACTGGAGATACACCCAAGCTCCTGGAGAAGATCTCAGGTACCAAGTCAAACACTTTAGGCACAAACAAACTGCCGGATAAATGATGATGGAGGTACAACACCCATAATGTTGTCTGTAAACCAACTGGAGGATTTCATTAATTGATGACCACAGTTAGGTTTACAATCTGATGCCCACCACTGGCTTAGACATAGATAACTTCTTTGTAGGTGGTTTTGTGGACTGCTGATTCACTGCCTGGCCTCCAAGGAGATATCATCCTGTATCAAGAAGGAACTCAGAATTAGCAGTCATCTCAGGGGTTACATGTCAAGCTCAGTTTATTAACATCCACATTAGTAATCATTCAGAGGACAGCTCTGAGGATAATGAGACAGTATAAGTCTCTACATATCATCTCTATTGTTCAGTCAGTAATAGTGACAGGAGATGCCAGAGTGGAGACAGATAGACTATCAAACAGAGAACATCAACTCTCCTCGCCCACACGCACTTGTAGATATACATCGCATCTCTCTCTCATTTATATATATTTTATACCATCCCCCGTCTGTTCACCGTACACACTTTGTTGTGCTAAAAATAACCTTTGACTCAGAGCTTTTGTCACAGTATCAAGCCGGCCAAAGATGACCCAGTTTACATGTGTCTATTAGTCGATACAAATCCTACGTTTGGTTATAGAATAATTACTTGTAGGGTTTAATATCTTTACAAATGGTGTGGGTTGTGTAGAACACAAACTATTTAGTCTGCACAGGGAAAGGTTTAATGTTCGGAGCCTGATCTCTGGACATCAAGAATGGCCCAACTCTGTGCGATCACACAGCTGAAACTTCCCTCTATGCAGCAGTGGCCAACTTTAAAAAGACATATTTTATGGTACTCGTAAACTATAATCAACTTACCCAAGCTTAGGAAATGTCCTAGACACCAAAGGCCGCCTCCTCAAAGTTTAGATGTTCGAGGCACATTTGAGAACATCTGTTCTTCTAGGCAGTCAGGCAGAAAATGCCCGCTTCAAACTACGTTTAGCGTCACTAGGAAAGAAGTCCCACTGCTCACCTCACGACACATGGCCACCATGATCATGTGACATATTTGCATAACATATTTGTTTTCATGTGTAGCAACCATTCCTAATGGGCCTTCAAAAGTTTCAACACCCTATGCCTTTAAAAAAAATTACCCTTGGTAATGGGAGATAGTAATGCTTCGGATTGTTGGTCAGCAAAGTAATCGTTAAAAAAGTACTCATACAAAGCTTATTTTATTCATTGCCAACCATGTCCCCAACATTTTATTGCATTGAAGTTGAACAAATTCACTAAAAAGTGGAAAAAGATGATGGTTTTCAAACATCTCCTTAAATTTCTATAAATAGCAAAACAAATCCAAGATGGCCACCATGATCATGTGACATATTTGCATAACATATTTGTTTTCAGGTGTAGCAACCAATCCTAATGGGCCTCCAAAAGTTTCAGTACCCTACACCTTTAAGAAAAAATTTTAATGAATTTTATTAGAAAAGCAGTCATTTTTACAAAAATCTTCAAACACCCTTGGCAATGGGGGCCAGAAATGCTCTAGATTGTTGGTCAGCAAAGTGTTAAGGCTGGTCGACCTGAGAGCCAGGGTCAATTTAGAAAAAAAGTCCAACTCCTTAGGAACCTTCAAATGGCAAATTGGTAACCAAAAATCAATAAACAGTTTGTTTTTTTTATATTTGTTTCTAATAGCAAGAGATTTTAAACAAAGTATTTGGACCAACTGTATTTCCTGATGGAATCTCACCCAATTTGGAGAATTTTCTTAAAAGATTTGATCAGGTACGATATGAAATATGCTTATATAGAGAATCTTCTTTTTATGTGTGTTCATCCTTAAAAAGGTATTGTCAACTTTTGTTGCGGCTCACAGCTAGGCTGTAAAAAAGCTTATTTTATGAAAAGATTTGGGCATGTACGATATGAAATGACTTTATATAGAGGATTTAAACAAAATTATGTCATCAAATATAGTGTGAAATGTCCTAAGGTAAGGATCGTTTTCTGAAAAGATTTGGATAAGTATAGGAAGAAGTGCCATCCATAGTTTACCTGGGTCCAGTCTGTGTATATTGTAAGAGATAACTAAGGGGAGGGTTGACATGAGATTATCTATCACATCCCATAGACAACTTTGGTTGCAAAACCCAGCAGCTTAGAATATTTCTTGTCTTCTTGTTGTGTTAGTTGTGAATACAAGTTTTGGCCAAAACGTTAGACTGTTCCTATATCTCTTGGTCCCCGTAATCCACACGGGGAACCACATTATTTAGAGTTGTATAAGACATGAAGGTCTTGACCCTACCTAAGGATCTAGGCTCCATGGTTATGACAGTGCAGGCTAGGCGTATATTTGTGCCCCCGACTGAAAAGATAGTGCTTATCACCTTACTGATGATTCAAACATGTCTTCTGAATGAAGTTCTTTAGTAATCTAATAATTTAACCAGTTTTTCCATGTACTGTACAGGAATAACAATGCCCTTAGTTGTACAGTGTGAGAAAGAGGTTTTCTTTATTTTAAATAAGGATTGTGAGAGGACGAGGAAGAGAGAGGCCTATTTGCTGACTAGTGCTCACTCTGTTTGATCATTTGACTGAGATTTACTAATGCTTCTTTATGTAACCTGTAATCATGTTTGCCTTAACATAGGCTCTTAGTCGTATATTCTTTTACTATAGTTGGAAACCAACTCCAATGTTTGTTGGATGTTTGTGATTTTATGAACAACATTTGTATATTCAGTAGTTTGCCATTTGCGGATGATTTGTCATGTGTTAGTTTCGACAGTGGTACCAATAGCTGACCATTAGAAAGCAGTGGTATAATACTGGATATTAAATTTGCCTAGAAAAGTTGCAGCATCAAAAAAATGCTGGGGTTGGTTCTGCAACATCCTGTAAAGGACGCGCAACTAACTTTATTGAGTTTGCCATTGCTCTGAATGGCCAATGCTCCATGCCCTTGTCGAAATCAACGACAAAGCAGCCGCTACCAGATCACCTGCAGCCGAATTGAACAGGGTATTTTGAAGCTATGAACCACGTTTGTAATGCCTATGCTACATATGCTGGTCACGTTTGCTGTACCTGCTTCAAAATACTAGCTGCTAAGAGTTAAAAGGTTACTGGATTAATGATGAGAGGATTGACTTCATTACATGAGCTTTATCCCATTGACTTGGTCTCTCGCTGCAGAATGACTAACCGCCCTCCAGGAGCATCACACACAGCACCAACACTGTACCTACAGTGTCTTTACGCAGGGATCTCCATAAAAATTGCACTCGTGATCCGAACAATATCACCTTGAAATGAACTTACGACCTTCAGAGCACAGGGCAAACACTTGACCATTCTGCCACAGAGATTCTGTGACTAGCTGCAGTACTGGGTGGCAACTAAACCAGGCTTTCATAACCGGTGAGGGACAGAGGATTCATAAGCTGAGAGTGGTGAGAGGAGATGGAGATGAGTGAGTGATAAGGCAAGAAACTGGAGAGGACGTACAATGGGAGAAAGTGAGAGATGAAGGGACATTGAAAGAAGTGAGTGGGAGAGACAAAAAGTGAGAAATATGCTAATGAAGGGAGAGAGGTAAATATGATGGGTGAAAGATAAAAGGAGAATGTGAAAATAGAGAAATACGATGTTAGATAGTTCACTAGTTCGCCATTGTGGGCTGTGTGCGCAGACTAAAGGACATGATGTCTTGCAAGAATGTCCCTTTTACAGCCCATTAAGAAAAGAATACTGGCCTAGTGAGTCAACAATGCACTCAAAGTTGTAAGGAACTAAAAAGGAAATCCTAAAAATTGTCAAGTTTATCGCAAGAACTTGTCTGTCGATGTTAATCCGAAAGCGAACACAAGAAGAAGAAGATAGTTTAGCTGTTATTAATGCTCTTAGAGAAATGGGAAGGATAGAGGACTTTGGGAGCAGTGAATCCACATCACTCGCCAGAATGGCAGACTTGGGAATTAAGATCAGCATAGCAAAAAACGAGACGCACACCAGACACACCAGAAGACTTGTTAATCAACAAAGAACTGGTACTATTAGCCATCAGACGTTGGGGTTCATACTGAGGGAAGGGTCTGAGCACCTATGGACATGTCCGGAGTGCATGATGATAACAACTAACTAACTAACTAACTACGTTCAGCTGTTGAGAAAGAGGAAGAAAGAGTGAAAGTCTAATTTTGCTAACCAATGCTTCTTAGTCTAACCAGTAATGATGCTTGTCTTCCCATGTATCCTTCCTGACCCTGCAAACACCAGCTGCAGTACTGGGTGGTCACTGAAATGGTTCTCCTGCCCAATGTGGGAAAGAGGGTACAACTGTTGAGGAAGTTTATCAAACTGGCTCAGCAGTAAGTCATAGATACTCTTTGGGAAACAAATATTGCTCATGCCCTTTGTCTGTCCATCTCATCTCTGTGAGGATATATAGGATTTTAAAATTTAATAAATCACATGCATTTAAAAAAACAGTGCTCAACTGTTAAGGAAGTTTAGCCTAGTAGTAAGTGATTCTCTTTGGGAAACTGTATTTCTCATGCCCTTTGTCGGTCCTCCTCTTCTGGACACAGGGTATAGAGTAAAAAAGGGTTTATTGTCTTGAGTTCAAAAGTTTCAGGTAAATATTTAGTGAATCATAGAGTGACTTGTATAGAATGATACTTTCATCACAGCCTATCTGAAAGATTGTATGCTGGCTTAATTCTTTCACCTCATCTATTGTTACATTTTAGCTGAGATGAAGTGATGCTGAACCACACATGGGGGTGTACCGGGGCTCATACTGATCAAGGGATGTATAGTTGCTGAACCACACATGAGGGTGTACCGGGGCTCATACTGATCAAGAGATGTAGAGTTGCTGAGCCACACATGGTGGTGTACCAGGTCAAGGGATGTAGAGTTGCTGAGCCACACATGGTGGTGTACCAGGTCAAGAGATGTAGAGTTGCTGGACCACACATGGGGGTGTACCGGGGCTCATACTGATCAAGAGATGTAGAGTTGCTGAGCCACACATGGTGGTGTACCAGGTCAAGGGATGTAGAGTTGCTGAGCCACACATGGTGGTGTACCAGGTCAAGAGATGTAGAGTTGCTGAGCCACACATGGTGGTGTACCAGGACTTATACTGGTCAAGGGATGTATAGTTGCTGAACCACACATGGTGGTGTACCAGGACTTATACTGGTCAAGGGATGTATAGTTGCTGAACCACACATGGTGGTGTACCAGGACTTATACTGGTCAAGGGATGTATAGTTGCTGAACCACACATGGTGGTGTACCAGGACTTATACTGGTCAAGGGATGTATAGTTGCTGAACCAAACATGGTGGTGTACCAGGACTTATTCTGGTCAAGAGATGTATAGTTGCTGAACCAAACATGGTGGTGTACCAGGACCTATACTGGTCAAGGGATGTATAGTTACTGAACCACACATGGTGGTGTACCAGGACTTATACTGGTCAGGGGATGTATAGTTGCTGAACCACACATGGGGGTGTACCAAGATACATACTGGTCAAGGGATGTATAGTTGCTGAACCACACATGGGGGTGTACCAGGATACATACTGGTCAAGGGATGTAGAGTTGCTGAACCACACATGGGGGTGTACCAGGACTATACTGGTCAAGGGATGTATAGTTGCTGAACCACACATGGGGGTGTACCAGGACTTATACTGGTCAAGGGATGTAGAGTAGCTAAACCACACATGGTGGTATACCAGGACTCATACTGGTCAAGGGATGTATAGTTGCTGAACCACACATGGTGGTGTACTAGGGTTCATACTGGTCAAGGGATGTAGAGTAGCTGAACCACACATGGTGGTGTACTAGGGTTCATACTGGTCAAGGGATGTAGAGTTGCTGAACCACACATGGTGGTGTACTAGGGTTCATACTGGTCAAGGGATGTAGAGTTGCTGAACCACACATGGTGGTGTACTAGGGTTCATACTGGTCAAGGGATGTAGAGTAGCTGAACCACACATGGGGGTGTACCAGGGCTCATGCTGGAACAAGACCAAACTTCAGAACCGGATGAACAACCAGGAATTTCCATCACAGAACAGCTGGTGAATGTAAAGAAGAAAAATTTTACTTTTTTAATGCCTTATGTCCACCTTTAACTTGGCTGGTCGTTGTCTCCTCATCCAAAAGTACACCTTCCATAATTGCTATTTTTAAGTGACTGATGCCAAAAAATGACTTATGCAAAAGACTGTCACAAATACAAAGATGTCAGTGAGAAACACAGAGTTGAATTGCTTTGCTATACACAGCCTGTTGTTCGGTGGCGAGAGGAAAGAGAAGTGTCCGGGGGTTCGTAGTGAAAGGCAATGGAAAATCTTTAGTGCAAAACAGCCTGGCATGTGAAACCACAACGTCTAGCATGAGAATGGAGGTGGAGGCGGTAACTGCAGCTCTCTGGTGGCTAGAGAACAAAATACATACACAGGTTGTAATTGTAACAGACTCTAAAAGTATGCTGAGAAAGGTGAGGACAGGGATGCTTCGAGCAGAGTGGTAAGCTTCACTGGAAAGATCACGGGTAGTTAGCATTCTTTGGACCTTTTGTCCTGGTCATGCCGGCGTGGTGGGTAATGAACAGGCGAACAGATTGGCTGGATCTGCTCCACTGGGTGGTGAACTAATGCATGACAGGGCAGATGTTGTCAAGGCCCTTTGGGAACGAGAAACGGAATCAGTAGATGTTATGGCCTGGAGAGAATGAGACCCCTGAGTGTAACAAGAGGGTTTGGCCGGCTGACTACACTCAGAGGAAGGGCAAGACGGACCTATAACCAGGTTGTGACCTGTACCATCAGTACTGGAACTCTGCGCTGGTTGCTGAAGATGAGGACGGAGCACGCATGGGAATGCCCTTAGTGCTGTGATGTCAATTCTTGGCTTAACTAACTAACTAACTAATAATTCTTGGCTCAACTAACAACCTGTTTTGTTACATGCATGAAAGACTTGGACAACAAGCAGACCAGCTGAAAACATTTGCTCACAGCAGAAATGTGGTTTTTGAGGTGAGGACAAAGAATTTCATGGAATGATAGAAAAAGAAATGAAGCAACCCTCTCCTCGAGACAGGTGGAAACCATAAACTCTTTGTGTTTTCTTTTAACATGTTATGAAATGGAATGGACACTAGAATTTCTTGACAACTGGCAGGATGGAAATTGAGAAAGGGAAGGACAAAGGGATAAATATCTGGATGGCTTGGCCCTATGAATTGGGCGAAAGATGAAAACTAACCTGATCCATTATTTCACGATTGTGTGAGATTGCAAAACATGTCAGCCTGTTCTTATTGCCGAGACACATGATGATGATGATTAAATGACAGTTGTTTATTGTGACCAGAGTAAGTCAGAGTCTGAGCCACTTGTTTATGAGTAGTTATTTTATGTTCAGGTCTTTTAGGGTGTCAGCATATTTCCTCTTTTGCTTCTAATAATTTTTCTGCACAGTTTTAGTTCTAAAAATGTGGCTTGCATCTATAAATTACGTGAAATAGACCCTGCTTGACATCTGTACACTGGCATTGGGGAAACTCGAAAATTAAATTAGTAATATGTTGTTCTTCATAGGAATATGTTGTTCTTCATACTATTTAACTTCTATATTTTACATCTGCTTTGTTTAAATGCTGTGCTGTTTAACTTTTGCAATGCTTAATTTCTGCACCGTTCAATTTCTGTATTTTATTTTAAACATTTAATAATTATTTGCTTTGTTTAACTTCTGATTTGTTTAACCCCTGCATCCTTTAAATTTTGCATGACGTAGCTTCGGCATTGTTAAACATCTCCATTGTTTAACTTCTGCGTAGTTTAATTTCTGCTTTGTTTAGCCTTTGTTTATTTTTTTTATTCCTGCACTCTTTAGCCTAACCATTGTTGAACTTCAGCAATTGTTGTGACCTGTATTTTATAGACCAATCGGACTAGGTGGGTGATGTGGGTCAGCATCAGGCTGGCCATCTTTACTTGCCAGGACTTTACCTGGCACCAATTTTAGGCTGGTTTGACATGGGAACCAAGGTTGTTTATTTTCAAAGCCGGCTGTGTTTGAATTGGAACCCAAGACCTTAGGATTCATAAACGAGCATCTAGCCGCTACACCACTGTGGTTGCTATTAGAAAGTCTAAGTAAAATAAAACTAAAGGACCCTCTTCCTATCAGCGCCATGTTATTATAGACCAAAATGGGTCTCCCTGGTGAAGTGGTCAAGCCGTCTGCCTCGTGTTCTGAAGGTCATGGGTTCATTTCACGGCGGCGTTGTTCATTTCATGAGTGAAGTTTTTACGGAGATCCCTGAGGATCATCGCCCGAGCTACAGGGGTTGTGCTCTGAGTGACACTCTTGGCAGGCAGGTAGCTGTTCTGCAGAGAGAGACTGAGCCATATGGGACAAAACCCCGTGCACTGAAGTCAGTCCTCTCACCTTCACCGTTATCTTCCCTCCTGTTATAGATCAATTGACACTCTGTGGTTTGGTCACCTTTGTACTGGCTGCCTTTACCTCCCTGGAGATTTTCTGGTACCAATTTAAGACTGGGTCGACCAGACAGCGAAACACGGTTATAACATTTCCACCTTGATACAGATTTAAATCCAAGACATTAGTGGCTGTTAGGAAAGCAACTACAGGGTGTACCAAAAGTTTCCATACATTGACAAAATAAACATATCACCAACGCTATTACAAGCCACAGCCAGGCTCCAACAGAAAGGGTGTAAAGCTCAAACGGGCATTCCCCATTTTTTGTGAGGCTGGCGTGGCCGGTCAGGGCTCACCATTGTGGGTTATTCCACTTATTTATCTTCAAAATAATAATTCATTCAATAACACATATTGCAAATTAATTAAACTGTAGTTCAATTTGTGTTTAAATCTACTGTATAACAATGGTGAACCCTGACTGACCTAGCCAGCCTCACAAAAAACGGGAATGTCCGTTTGAGTTTGATAGTGTATTCAAAAGGAGGCGGTGTACAAGCATGACTCCGGCTGTGCCTATTACATGTTCTTCAGTATGACAAGCTAGATGTTGTGAGGTCCCTTTGGAAGCGAGTGAATAGTGCATAGGCACAAATAGATCATTATGGTCTGAGGAGAATAAGGGGGGTTAACAGAGGATCTGGTTGACACTCAGCACTCAAGGGAAAGGCGAGACGGATGTACAATCAGACAGTCACTGGTGCTGTCAGAATTGGAACTCTGCGCTTGCTGCTGAAGATGGGGACAGAGCGCTTGAGGAGGTGTCCTGAGTACTTGATGTAAATTCTTAATTTAACATTCAGCACTGAAGGACACAAATCAAAATGTGTTTTCAAAAAAGTTGTTGTCATATAGAGCATGTTGTATAAATATAAATGGCTTGAATAAAAAAATTTATTTTTTCTATGTATGGAGACATTTGCGACACCTTCCAGCTACTCATTAGAAAGTAGAGGATTAATATAATCTAGAAGTCTAGAGGGTATTAAACAGTATGATAGAATTATTAATGCAGAGTTTCGGGTGAAAACAAAACAAGTTCTAGTGGACCAAGAGGTGAAGAAAAAACGCTGGCGTTAGATAAGACACACGTTGAGGAAACCTGAGAACAGTATAACTAGAATGTCTTTGAACTGGAACCCACAGGGGCATATAAATAAATGAAGACCAAAAAACACATGGAGAAGGGAGCTACAGAGTGACGTTAAAAAGTTGGAGAGAGCTGCATGTGATAGCAAAGGATAGAACGACTTGGCATGTGTTGGCTGAGGCCCTATGCTCCATTGGGAGTTAGAAATACAGAAGAAAAAAGTCGGTTGTTAACAAAGGCTATGAAGAAATGTCTTCGAATAATTTGTCTGTGCTTTCCTCTTCAACAGCTGCAAGGAGCAGAACAACTTTCATGCCTTCTTTGCCATCACCATGGGGTTGGGCCACCTAGCTGTTAGTAGACTGTCACAGACCTGGGAGGTAAGATCTATTTCGATCTCCAGTTTCTACCTATGTTTACCACTTTTGCTGTGGGAGCGGGGGGGGGGGGGGGGGGGGGTCTTTGAGACCTGAGGATTTAGGGCCGCATGGCTAGTGCTGCCGCCATGGAACTGTGCAGGTTAGGATTTCATTTTTGCCTCTGACAAAAAAATCCCCAGCCTATCAAAGATTCAAACCTATGTCGCTCACTTGAGAGCCCAGCATTTTAACCATTTTTACTCCTTCAAAGACTTCTTCTTCTTCACTTCCTCTTTTACCGCTGTGGGTGTCGAGGGAGATATAAGGTTCTGTTTCTAGCTCTTCTGGCTGCCTCGACCATAGGCACATCGTGCTGTTGTAGAGTTTCTCTGATGTTATCCTTCCATCTTGTTCTTGGTCTACCCCGTGCTCTGCGTCCTTCTTTTCTTTCCATGTATGCTTTGTATGGTATGGTGTCACAAGGCATTCTCTCTAAGTGGGCAAACCATTTCACTTGCTGTCTTTGTATGTAATCCAGAATTGGTTCTGTGCCGACTTGTTCTCTTATGATCTCATTCCTGATCTTATCTCTTATGGTCACTCCTACAGCCCTTCTCAGACATCTCATTTCCGTGGTTACTAATTTTCTTTTATGGTTTGTTGTGAGTGACCATGTCTGGCACTGGTAGCACAGAGTTGGAATAAATATGCTTTGAATAAGATGTCTCTTTGTGCTGATTGGGATTGTCTTATGCTGTAAGAGGGGGGCTAGTTGTCCCAATACTTGGTTTGCTTTACTGCATCTAATGTCAATTTCTTTATCCAATTTCGCATCTTCGGTAAATGTAGTTCCCAGATATTTAAACTCAGATGCCTGTTTAATGCCTTTGTATTCTATTGCTATGTTTAGATCTGTCTTCTTTTTTCCTATTGACATTACTTCTGTCTTTTCAGTGTTGATTCTCATATTATTTGTTTTGCATTCTTCATTCATGGATGTTAGATGTTGTTGCAATTTCATGGCTGTATCTGCTATCAAGGCCTGGTCATCTGCAAAGAGTAATTCGTTGATCTTACTAAGATCTTCATTCATGGGCTTAGCATTCTTGCATATACTGTCGATGTAGGTGATAAACATCAGTGGTGATAAGACACACCCCTGTCTTACTCCAGATGTCACTGTGAAAGGATGAGATGTTCCCTGATTTATTCTAACTACACTTCTACAATCCCTGTATAAACTTTTGCACACTTCGATGAGGTGTTCGCTTACTCCATATCTTGCCATTAGTTTCCATAGTAATTGTCTGTCTACTCTATCAAATGCCTTCTCCTGGTCTACGAATGCCACAAATAAGTTCTTCTTGTATTCAATGTTCTTTTCTATTCAAAGACTGTCACAATTTATTATGTAATTTTTAAAAACATAAATCAAAAAGTACGGAACTAAACAATTATTTATGAACTGCAATTAGGTAATTGTTAATTTTGAGAATTATCTTCATTGCACATCGGGCATACCCATAAGTGTTCCAGTCTTATCTTAAGCATGTTTCTCTGGCAGACTGATGAATCCTATATTGGTTAATACAGTGACTGTGAGCTTGTGCATGGTTTTTACACTGCGCTACTGCAGATGGTATGTCTAGACTTCACATCCGGGTCAGAGGGAAATCAGTATTCTTCTGTTTGAGGTCTTCAGCAAGCAGTGCTATCATGTAGCATTAATTGAATTATGAGTTGGATTATCTTGACAGCATTCCGGACACATCCATAGGTGTTCAGATTCCCCCTTCAATATATTCATCAATATTGTGCGGTTAATCGTGCCAGTCCTATTCTGGTTGACAAGACTTTGTGTGCGTCCGGTATGCTTCTCATGCTTGGCTGTGTCGATCTTTACTCCCAATTCTCGTATTCTTAGCAGTGATGTGAACAAGTTGCTCAGAACATCTCATCTCTCTCAAGGCATTGACAATGTCTGCGTGATCCATGGGCCAGCTGTCTGAAAGGTGGATTAATTATATCCATTTTGTCCATGAAGGGTCCACTTCCGAGAGTAGCCTTGCCTGCAAGGGCATCCACCCTCTTGTTGGCTTTCATACCAGTATCTCATGTGTCAGAGATGAAGGTAATTGTATGAAGAGTTGCTTTGGCTTTTTGAAATGATTGATAACAGTCTCTTTACATTTTTCCAGTTCTGATTTGATATTCTTGTCATATTCATGGAGTTACTCAGAAAACATGCGCATATGAATTCATATTAGCTAATAGCTTTGGCTTGCAATGCCTAAGAAGAGTGGCAAGACAAGATCACAAACACTGAAATGCTGGCATACATGTATACTGAGGTTTACATGGTTGTTATGTTATATTTCTTTTAAATTCTTGGAGATGACCACCAGAATGGGAGAAAATCAGCCACCGTTGGAGGCTAAGAACCAGGGAACCAGGCCTCCGGGACGACCCAGGGTCTGCTGGGAAGAGAACATCCTACAGTCCCTAACTGAAAGAGGACTGGAATGGAACAAAGCTTGAAAGAAAACTGCTGATCGAGAAGTCTGGCGATATCTCTTGTAAATCTCTACACCCCAAGGTAAAAGAGGAGCGACTGGCGATCTCTCTGGCAAACCTCTACACCTGAAGGTAGAAGAGGAGCGACTGGCGATCTCTCTGGCAAACCTCTACACCCGAAGGTAGAAGAGGAGCGACTGGCTATCTCTCTGGCAAACCTCTACACCCGAAGGTAGAAGAGGAGCGACTGGCAGTCTCTTTGGCAAACCTCTACACCCCAAGGTAGAAGAGGAGCGACTGGCGATCTCTCTGGCAAACCTCTACACCCCAAGGTAGAAGAGGAGCGACTGGCAGTCTCTTTGGCAAACCTCTACACCCCAAGGTAGAAGAGGAGCGACTGGCGATTTCTCTGGCAAACCTCTACACCCCAAGGTAGAAGAGGAGGGTCTGGTGATCTCTCTGGCAAACCTCTACACCCGAAGGTAGAAGAGGAGGGTCTGGTGATCTCTCTGGCAAACCTCTACACCCCAAGGTAGAAGAGGAGGGTCTGGTGATCTCTCTGGCAAACCTCTACACCCGAAGGTAGAAGAGGAGGGTCTGGTGATCTCTCTGGCAAACCTCTACACCCCAAGGTAGAAGAGGAGCGACTGGCGATCTCTCTGGCAAACCTCTACACCTCAAGGTAGAAGAGGAGCGACCGGCGATCTCTCTGGTAAACCTCTACACCCCAAGGTAGAAGAGGAGCAACTGGCAATTTCTCTGGCAAACCTCTACACCCCAAGGTAGAAGAGGAGCGACTGGCGATTTCTCTGGCAAACTTCTTCACCCCAAGGTAGAAGAGGAGCGACTGGCGATCTCTCTGGCAAACCTCTACACCCCAAGGTAGAAAAGGAGCGACTGGTGATCTCTCTGGCAAACCTCTACACCCCAAGGTAGAAGAGGAGCGACTGGCGATCTCTCTGGCAAACCTCTACACCCCAAGGTAGAAGAGGAGCGACTGGCGATCTCTCTGGCAAACCTCTACACCCCAAGGTAGAAGAGTAGCGACTAAGTAAGTAAGGAGATGACCACATTTAGAGCTAGATTCTTTAACAGTGCTCTAATATACAGAAAATGTCAGAGAACACATTACAGTGTTTAGGATTTAATGAGAGAACTGATTGCATGTGACCTGTGATTAAAGGAAAAAATGTCCCTTTTCCATTCCTTTAGGTGTATTGGGAATATAGGGCTAGACCTGTATTTTTACAGAGCAATGGGCACTTTTGTCTGCGATTGACAGATTCCTTGTGTGGGTTCTAGGATCCCGTTGGGGGTGGGGAAAAAAAAATTACTAATTAGGGATTTGCTGAATTTTGATATGTTGAGCTGAAAGACACACATATCACAGCCTAGCTGTAAACCACAGTGTGCCTATCCCTCTTTTAAGGACAAATGGAGAAGAAGAAAAAGAAGCTTTGAAAAAAGGTAAATATCTTTACTTCTGTTGTCCTATGACAGAAGCTGCCTGGAAAGTTGAAGAAGCTCTTCTCAGAGTTTGAAATCTTCATGGAGCCGGCTAGAAACCACAGACCTTACAGGCTGACTGTCAGCAAGCTCAAGAGTCCCATAATTCCATTCATGCCTCTTCTGATGAAAGGTGAGTGGTCTTCATGTGTTTATTTTCACCATATGGGTTCTTGGGAGCCGCTGTGTGGTTGCGGCTAGATATTCACCTGCAGATCCAAAGGTCAGTGGTTCGAATTCGAACGTTGTATTGTAGAGTATTGTAACTGACTCACAGAGCATGTTGAGAAAGGTGGAGACAGGCATGCTTCGTGCAGAGTGACAAGCATCACTTCAGAGGTCCTGGGTAGTTATCATCCTTTGGATATTTTCTGCAGGTAATGCAGGTGTGTTGGAAAATGAAGATGGGGACGGAGCACTAATGGGAATGTCATGAGTGCTGTGATGTCAGTTCTTAGCTCAACACTCAGCATTCAGTGTGTAATCAAAGCAATGCTTAAACAAAACTGGAATGCCGAGTAAGCTTAACAACTAGACTCTCATCTGCTGGTCTGAAGGTCTTTGGTTCAAATCTGCATCAAGTTGAATTTGTTTTTTTCAATTTAGTTTGGTTCCCAGGTTGACCCAGCCTAAACTGTACAAGTCATGGGAAGTAAAGGCAGCCAATAGGCCACTGATGATGAAAGGGTCCTTTATCTTTTTTCGATTACCCTTTTTTTCCTTAAACGAAAGGAAGGTTACGGGTAGTGAGCATACTTTGGATCTTCTCTCCAGGCCATGCTGGTGAAGTGGGTAATGAACAGGCGGATTGGCTGGATCTGCACCACTGGGTGATGACTGATACATGACAAGGCCATGAGCAACGGAATCAGTAGAGAAACAAAATTATTATGACCTGGAGAGAATGAGGCACCCAGGTGTAACCAGAGGGTCCTGCCGGCTCACTACACTCAGAGGAAAGGCAAGAAGGACATATAACCAGATTGTGACCTGTACCATCAGTATTGGAATTAACTCAACAACTCAACCTTAAACAAAACCCAGCTAAACAAACTCTCACTATTGTTGGTTATACTTGCAAACTTATAAATATATTTTTACTTGGTTCTTCACTGAAAAGGACTTTTGTTGTCTCCAGACATGACTTTCACGAATGAAGGAAACAAAACTTATTATGATAATATGGTCAATTTTGAGAAGATGGTGAGTTGAACATATTGTTTGTTTGTACCGATCAGTAATACTTTATATTTAACAAAATGTATCATCGTCAAGTGCCTTGCTGACTGGCAGGGATAATCATGCCTCTCCTTAATCTCAATCTCCAACTGCCTGTATCACTTTGTGTGTTGACACTCCTCCATGCCATGACAATAGACTGTCAAAAATTTTCTCACTTTGCCTGCCTCTGTCTCTCTTTCTTCTTCTTCACATTCACCGGCTGTAAACTCTGGTGGAAAGTTCTGGTTGCTCGTCCTGTTCCAGAAACTGATTGATGTGTGCACATCTGTTTCACAGGTCTGACTACTTTGCATGCAGACTGACAATTCCTTGCCTCTCAGGCAGATCTACGACTTTGAAGAAAGCTCCTAATTAGTCGACTACTACAACATGTCCTTTGGGCAAGCAATGGGTCTATTCTTGTTCTCCCCAAAATGGGGTTCCGGAACCTACACGATAAGACCTCTGTTTTTCTTTCCCCGAATCTTTCCAGTGGTCGTAACGTGTTCTAGTTGCCTCTCCTCTCATACGATGACCCAATAAATGATGACTATCTCTTTCTAATGTTTGTGATAAGTTGTCTTCGAGCCCTCGCCTCATTCAAAACATCTGGGTTGTTCTTTTTGACTGTCCAAGGAATTCTAAGGATTCTTCTGTAAAACTGCATCTCCAAATCCACAAGAAATTGTTCAGCTTGTTTATTAATTGTACCAGATTCACAGCCGTATGTTCAAACTGGTTCTACTGTAGCCTGCAAGAATTCTTCTCCTGACCTTCACTGAGGTGGATTGATTACACAGAATGTAAACAGTGTTAAAACAAATGTCAGGGACCTTGTTTCTGCTAGTAGCTCATTGGGAATTTGATGTTTAAGTCATATTTTTATAGACCAATTGGCGCTTGATAAGAAATGTGGTCAACATTATGCTGGCCGCCTTTACTTCCTAGAAAATCTCCTAGTACCTGGAGAAGACGACGACAATTTGTAGTTTCATGTGCCTATGGTTGTGTCCTATTTTGTTGTTGTTATTCCATATTTCTATGATAGTTTATTTTTAATTTTTTCAAATCATTCTGAAGCGGAAATGTGGGGGTGGTGCAGGGGGGAATCTTAGTTGTGGCCAGTGCTGAAAAGCTAGTGTTGATAGGACACACATTGAAAACCATGGACTGTGGCAGGGGGTTGAAGACCCAAAACAAACCCCCAAAAAATGGAGAATGGAGCTTTTGCAGTCGACAGAGGAGAGTAAAAATTCACTACAAGTCAGTTTTTAAGGAGATTCCTGGGAATCATCAGTGGAGCTAGGGAGATTGAGATTCAAACCTTTGTGAATTCTCCCAGATAAGAATCCTGCATTCTTAACTATTAAACAATAATAATAACTACATTAAAATGGTTAGACTAAAAATCAACCATGGCCTATATGTCTTGGTATGACTACACTTTGATTTCATCCCTTAAACAACTAAGTTACTTTTATGTTACCACGTTTTGCCAAAAATAAGGCCTAACCGAAACAAAAAATCAGCCCTGGCATAATTTTTCAGGCTGCTTGAAATCTAAACCCTACCCTAATTATAAGCCCTAGTTAATATCATCAGCCAGACTGATTTCATTTGTCCATCGAAACATGACAGAGGTATCGAATTATAACGATGTTCCAGATGAAGGTGGCGTGGCTGTATTTGAATAAATTTAGATTTTCCAGTTCAATAAATGTAGATTTTCCAGTTCAGTAAATGTAGATTTTCCAGTTCAATAAATGTAGATTTTGCAGTTCAGTAAATGAAGATTTTTGTGTTTCCCATGTGGGTTCCAGGGCCTTAGTGTGGGGGAGGGGGGATGTGGATACAAAAGCGTTGACCCACCGCCTCCCTAACGAGCATGTCATAAGAACTGACTGATTGGGGTATTCCTTCACAGTCATAGTGCTTCTGCATGAGAAGCAAGGAGTCAATAGTCTGCCTACATATAAGCCAGATCTGTAAAATGGATGCGCATGCAAAATGCAAGTTCTGGAGAAAAAAAAAAGTAAAGGACCCTTTTCCACGCCTTTAGGCGTATAGGGCATATAGGGCTTACACATATATTTTATGGACCAATTGGCACAAGATGGGGGATGTGGTCAGCATCACGCCAGCGGTCTTCACTTCCCGGGACTGTACCCAGTACCCACTCAAGGCTGGGTCGACATGGGAGCCAAAGTCATTTTTGGATAAAAAAAGTCTGGCTCTGTCTGGGAGCGAACCCAGGACCTTCTGATCCTCGGCGAGCGTCTAGCCGCTACGCCACGGCGACTCCCTCAACTTCTGAAACAAGAGTAAATAAAGTCCAGAAGTTGAGAAACAACCAGAACTTTTTGCCAGAGTTTAAGCCAGTGAACACGAGTCATTGAATACATGTAGATTTGTTCATATGATAAAATAAGATCCTCTTTCTCCTCTTTTCTCTACTCCTGAAATGCCTCGTGGTGTCAGGGAAAGAGCCCTTCTGTTCGCTTTGTATAAAGTACTTTTCAGTGTCTCTGATATTTCTGCTGTCTATGTTCTGCATGGTTGACCCTGACTCTATTACCGTTGTATCTGTATAACATTGCCCTCTCTGATACCAATCTCATTACTTGGCCAAATCATTTGATTTGTTGTCTATCTATAAAGTTCAGTATTGGTTCTGTGCCGACTCTCCTCCTGATATCATCATTCCTAAGTCGATCTTTCCTCATTACACCTAGACTAGCACGCAGACGTTTCACTTCTGTCCTGATTATTTTCCTTCTGTCTTCTGAAGACATAAATTTGCCTAGAGAAACCACACAACAGCCTGGGGCTGCTGGGATTGGTTCTGCAATGTCCTGTAAAGGATACGGCAACTAACTAATCTTCTGAAGACAGTGTCCATGTTTGACATTGATAGTATAGCGTTAGTAAGAATATTTTGTTGAACAGTGCTCCTTTAGTGTTCATATTCAAGATAGAATAGTTGTTATACGTATTGTTGAAAATTCAAAGTTAGATATCACCTCTGGAAAAAACCCAAGACTTATGGCGGGGTAAAGCAGGAAACTATATATAAGACCAGTTGGGGGGGGGGGGGTGTGCATACAGGGGGGGGGTTCCATTGAGAGATCAGTGACAGAGAAGGATGAAGAGCAAAATAAGAAGAATCTTTAACCATAAATGAAAGACATTTATTCCCTCAACTCTGGCAGGGTCCCAAGGACATGCAAGATACGTTATGGCAATATCCTACCAGTTGTATGTTTGTGTGTATAGATGCGCCCGATTTTATGTTCCATCTTGAGACCCTTTGACAGAGAATTAAAAATTCTGCGGCACACATTTATTCCCTCAAGAGTTATGTTAATTAAAGTAGCTCAGTTTATCAAAGTGTATCTGTTCTCATGCACTTTCAGCATATGATTGCACAGACACTCAGAACAATCAGGTACTGCCGTCAGAATCACATGGGTAAGTATTTTCAGTTCTGTTTTCTGTGTGCTTTTTTCCTTCTCATTGACCAGTCATCATTGCGCAGATCACTTACATATTTTACATATTTGGGTAGTAGTTTTTCATTGGAACCCACAGGCGCATAGGAATAAAGGAAGGCCAAAAAATACACGGAGAAGGGGAGCTGGAGAATGAAGTTAGAAAGATGGGGAGGACATGGGGAGAGCTGCATGCAGTAGCGAAGGATAGAGCAACTTGGGGTGAGTTAGTTGAGGGCCTATACTCCATTGGGGCTAGAGAGGCAGAAGAAAGAAGAAGAAGGTAGCAGTTTTGATTGTCTTCTTCTTCTTCTTCTTCACTTCCTCTTTCCGCTTTGTGTGTTTGAGAGATATAAGTTTCTACTTATTGCTTATTTTGTCTGCAGTGACTGTAGACACATCATACTGTTAAAGAGTTTCTATGATGTTATCTTTCCATATTGTCCTTGGTCTACCTCGTGATCTACCACCTTATCATCTTTTAGTGTATGCCTTATATAGTATGCAGTCACAAGGCATTCTTTCTAAGCTGGCAAAAAATTTGATGTGCTGTCTTTGTAAATAATTAGAGAACTTGTTCAGTGCCGATTTTTTTTTCAATGATCTATTTCCTGATTTTTTCTCTTCTGCTCACTCCTACCACCATTCCCAGACATCTAATTTTCATGGTTACTAATTTTCTTTTCTGGATTCTTTACTGTTTTTCTGTTTTAAATGTTAAACGTATTGTTGAAAATTCAAAGTTATATTAGGCCATGACTACAAATACATCATTCTTATTACCATGAGGAGTAGTAGATGTAGAAGAAAGTAGAGGTATAGAAAGAGCATATATTGGTGGAATGGAGATTTTTGAGTACTAACCTATGTTTTATTGATATTTATTGGTTTCTGTTATCTGTGCAGAGCCTGAAGCTCCCGAGTCAGTGAAGGCCACTGCTGATATCAAAGCCTACATAAGGTGAGCATTTTTGCTTTGTTAATTCCTTGGGCCCCAGCTAGTAATTACTTAATCTCTTTCTGTACTGAGGAATTCTGCATCATAAAAGAACTTTTGCCTTCATCTGGATTTAGAATCAGCTGTACAGACATGTTGCAATTTTAATGGACCTATGGAGTATGTTGAGAATGGTGGAGACAGGCGTGCTCCGTGCAGAGTGGCAAGCATGCTTCAGAGGTCCCGGGTAGTTAGCATCCTTTGCATAACTTCTCCAGGTCCTGCTGATGTGTTGGGAAATGAGCAGGCAGATAGACTGGCCAGTTCTGCACCACTTGGTGTTGAATTGATGTATGACAAGCTAGATGTTGTGAGGGCCCTTTGGAAACAAGGGAACATTGCAGAGGCTCAAATATATCATAACGGTCTGAGGAGAATGGCACTGCTGGAAGTTACTAGGGGATCTGGCCCACGCTTAGTACTCAAGGGAAGCGACAGAAGTACAATAAGACAGCTACTAGTGTTATCAGAATTGGAACTTTTCGCTCGCTGTTGAAGATGTGGAAGGAGCACTTATAGGAGTGTCTCGAGTGCGTGATGTTGATTCTGGATTCAGCATTCAAAAGACATGTGTAGATCACAAGGTGTTGAAATAGTAACAGTTTATGGATGAAAAAAAAACAATATAATAATTTTCATACAGTGAGTTAACATAAAAAGTGTTTAAGACAGAAAATGTGTTTTTTTTTTTTAACTGACTAAGAACGTACAGTGAGTTCTGTCAGGCATTATTTGTATCTTAGTTATTGTATTTTTTTAATTGTTTTTTTTTCAATTTGTTTCAGTAGTAAATTATTAACTATTAACTTACGTTCTCTCAACACAAGGAATCTCAATGTGATCGACAACCAGCGGATTCTGACAAACCTCTCCCACAAATGTGAACCTAGAAAAGGCTGATCTATCTGCTAAACTTTTGGTCCCGTCATCGAGCATTTCAGATAGGTTAGATTAGGAAGAAAATGTAAACAAAATAAACTGGTGCCAATGTTGTCATCATCATCAACACCATCATCATCAATATCTTCATAGTCTCACAACACTGCATGTCATTGGGTCACCCGTTACCGTTGATCCGCTCCCTCTACCTCTTTTGGTCACATGCAGTGGGCTTGATGTTTGTGTATTTGAGGCCTGTCCATTCATCTAAATTTCTTTGTCAAGGTCTCTTTTTTGATCTGTCTCTCCTCCTCTTCCCACTCTACAGAGACTTAGAGTTTCATTTTTGAGATGCTGGCAGATCTTGTTATATGTCCGCACCACTGCATTTTCAATCTTTTCACTGTTTAAAGATGTTTACAGTTGCCAATATGTTAACTGATGATATGACAAATTCTGTGCAGATTATAGGATTTTATTTTGGCCCCAGGAGAAAATAAATCTCCAGCCTTACCGAGGATTCGAACCCAGGTCTACTGCATGAGCGCCATGCTTTCCTAACCGTTAGGCCAGCCGCTTAACTGATGTAAAGACCTGAAATTGTAATCTTGTTTTATTCTTCCTCTATTTCCTGTTCTGCCATTCAGCATCAGGTTTTGAAGAGACTTCAGGAGCTAGCCATGTGGCCTTAATGATTCCCCTATCCTACACTTATAAATATAGACAGTTAAGACCTTTTTTGGGGGGAAGGGGGTGGATTCTTTGTTTTTTGGTTGACATGTAGTTTTACCTGTGGACATGTTTGAGTATTTTAGTTAACATAGTTTTACCAGTGGAAATTTTTTATTCGTATATTTTAGTTAACATGTAATTTTACCTGGGGATATAGTTAACATATAATTTTACCTGAGGATATTTGCATTTTTGTATTTTAGTTAACATATAGTTGTACTTGTGGACATTTTTTTATTTGTGTATTTTGGTTGTTGTGAAGTTTTACCTGTGGAAATTTTTTATTTGTATAGTTTAGTTAACATATAGTTTGATTTGTAGAAATTGTGTATTTGTGGACATTTGTTTTAATCTGTGTATTTCGGTTGTTGTGTAGTTTTACCTGTGGACATTTTTTTTTTTTTTTACTTATTTTAGTTATCATATAGTTTTACATTTTATTTATGGTTTAGTTAATATATAGTTTTATCTGTGAAAATTTTTCTTTCTATGTTTTAGTTAACATATAATTTTATTTGTGGACTTTTTTCATTTTGGATATTTATAGGTAACACATAATTGTACCTGCTTACATTTGTTTTCTGTATTTTAGTTAACATATAGTTTTACTTTTCTATATTCTAGTTACATCTAATTTTACTTTTCTGTATTTTAGTTACATCTAGTTTTACTTTTCTGTATTCTAATTAGCATATAGTTTTACTTTTCAGTATTCTAGTTAATATATAGTTTTACTTTTCAGTATTCTAGTTAACATATAGTTTTACTACCTGTAGACATTTTTTCAGTGTGAGTATTTTTGGTTCATCTTATCTCATCTTGATCCTCTTTTACCTAGCGGTGTCGAGCTAAAGTATAATTTACGGGAAAGATAATTTTCTAACAGTACATTCACTGTTGGTATACAAGCTATACATGTGTTTGTAACTGTTCAAGATTCCCTATAGTTTGTTTCTATCTACTCTGTCAAATGCTTTTTCTTGATCAACGAAGGCCAAATGGCTAAATAGAGTCTTTTATTAAATTCAGCTGATTTTTCTGTAAGTTGTCTGAGTGCAAAGATGGCGTCTGTGCATCCCAAGTTTTTCCTATATCCTAGTTGCGTTTCACTTAGCTGGGGCTCGATAACAGGTCATAGCCTTTTCTCTAGAATTTTGCAAAATGTTTTCCCGGTCATCATCATCATCATAAACCACGTCTGCTGTTAAGCGACGTGGGGAGGAATAATTTGTGATCGAGTGCACGTTGGCTGCCACTGGCTATTGTCATGCCGTAAAGGCGTAAAGTGACTTTAATGTTGTCGGTCCATATTTTTCCGCAGCCGTCATCTTGCTCTTGTAGCTGATCTTCTGAGATGTAGTGCTTGTGATGGTATTTGATCTTGCTGCATTCTAACGAGATGGCCAAACCATTTGATCTGCTGTTTCTCGATGAATCTAGTACAAGGTGTCATTCCCACAATTTGCCTGATAGTTTCATTATTCACTCGATCTCGGTACGACTCAAAAGAGACTCCTCTGTACTGTATGCAGTCTCTTTTACTGCCTTTGTTTTTCTGTATTGGAATGATTGTGGCATTTCTCCAATTTCATGATGTTTGTTCATTTCACGGACATTGTTAAACAGCCTGTGCAGCCATTTTAACTCTGAGTCCCAAGAAATGCATCATACGTTCATAGGTTCCTACCTAGAAGCCCAATGAATGCATGATGCGCTGATTTATTACTTTCTTTACTGTCACCTGGGCCTATCATGCTAAACTTCCGGGATTCAAAGAGTTAATTAGCCTGCTTTAATTAGTTTGTTTGGTATTTCATATGGTCTTGGTGATTTATTCCACTCTAGTAGGTTCCCTGATCTCTTCATTCAGTATGTCAGGTTCTAGTTCCTGGGCGGTGACCACTGTGGTGTCTTGAGTTTCTGTGGCGTCGGTGACCACTGTGGTGTCTTGAGTTTCTGTGGCGTCGGTGACCACTGTGGTGTCTTGAGTTTCTGTGGCGTCAGTGACCACTGTGGTGTCTTGAGTTTCTGTGGCGTCGGTGACCACTGTGGTGTCTTGAGTTTCTGTGGCGTCGGTGACCACTGTGGTGTCTTGAGTTTCTGTGGCGTCGGTGACCACTGTGGTGTCTTGAGTTTCTGTGGCGTCGGTGACCACTGTGGTGTCTTGAGTTTCTGTGGCGTCGGTGACCACTGTGGTGTCTTGAGTTTCTGTGGCGTCAGACAGTATATTGAGAAGTTTGAATTGCTGTCTCCATCTGTCTGGAATTTATTTCACTTATTGGTTCTCCTTTGTCATTGTTATTTCTGTTAGATCGTACGGATCTCATCTGGTTCTCATTAATTTAGTCTTTTTTGTAAAAAAAAATTTTGCCGCTCCCTTGTAATTGGAAAGGATAAAAATAACAAACGAAAAGTATATCAGCGAGCCTCACCATATAATAGACATGAACAAAACGTGAACGTTGCGGCTATGGAGCCTTCTTCAGCACATACATAGATTAGACAATACTACAAAATACACAATATCACTTATCTTCGTATCTCGAGGCAGCCAGGTCAGGGTCAAGCCAGCCTTTCTCTGTATTTTTCCCAGCCGTTCTGTCAGCTTTCTTTATTGTTCTGTTTGCATTTCTTCTTGCTATTCTATGTTTGATATAATTGTCGTCATGTTTGCTCTTAACCCATTTCTTGTATTTGTTCTTTTTTCTTTAACAATTACTTTCACTTCGTCATTCCACAAACTTGTTAGTTCCCTTTTAAGAGTTCTGCTTTTCCTCGTAGTTCCTCATGTTATTTTTGCAGCATTTAGAATACAGAATTTAAATATTTTATATGTGGGCATGTTTTATTTGTATATTTTGATTGACAAGTAGTTTCTCCTGAGGAAATTTTTATTTGTATGTTTTATTTGACATGTACTTCTATCGATGTATATTATTATTATTTTTTTTAGTTTATAAACTTTGGTTGGTGTATGCATTTGTCTATGGATATGTTTGCTGTTGTTGTTTTTGTTATCTGTAGAAGAAACAAAATTACAAATGATACGAGGGAGAGTCAAAATTGTCTACACTTTTCATTTTATAATTTATTTACATGAAACTAGGGTTTCATTGTGCACATTCTGTGTAATCTCCTTCCTTATCATTGCACTTTGCCCAGTGACCAACAAGCTCAGTCTTTCTTCCAAATAAAAGGTTTTCAGTTGGTCATAAAGCCAATTCTGCTGCGCATTTTGCTTGTCTAAGTCTGAAGCGTATCGGCGACCTTGCAAGGGTTTTTAGTGCCCACCGTGTGCAGATTTTATGAAAGCCAAGCTCATCGTGGATTATATGATTGGCAGAATTGTGATTAATGTTTAACACAGAGGCTACCACATCAATGGTTAATCGCCTGTTTGCCTGAAACATCTCTCAGGCTTGCTGAATGTTGTCATCTGTAGTAGAAGTTGATGGCCATCTTGTTCTTTCTTCAGGCGATATGACCACTTGTAATCTTCTCGATCCACAAAAACACATCTTTACAAGATAGTACACTTCTCCGATTATTGTGATGATGGTCTAGGATGAATTTCTGAACCTTTGACACCCTCAGACAAGAGGAATCAAATCACTGCTTGTTGTTCCTCTTTGGAGCAAACTTCTAATGGAGCAGCCATGATCTATCCAGAACAGAGGGAAGACAAATGACGGACTTGAAGGATCAAACTTTCGTAGCATTACCACAACAGTATAACAAAGAAATAAGCCAGGACAGAAGTCAGTGTGGACAATGTAAGAAAAGTTCTGTCAAAAGTGTAGATAATTTTTGACTTGCCCGCCTAAAATGAATATTTAGTTGTGCTGAACCTCGACCAGCTCCAGCTGACGGGCCCTGCTGCTGACGTCACCTGGTCGGGCTAACGATGCAGTGACGCAGCAGTTCTCAAACTGGGTGCCGAGGTACCCTAGGCTGCTGTGAACGTATGCCAGGGGTGCCGCGGGAATACTGAAGAAAAGTTGGTTACAAATTGTGAAATTATTAAAAAAGGCGTGTAGATACTTTAAAGTTAAAATTTAAGTTGACTTTCCTCGCCACTGTCGAAAAAAGTTTATTTATTGTTTGAGAACTGCTGCGTTAACGCATCCTTAGCCCAACCCGGTGACGTCAGCAGCACGGCCCTTTAGCTGGAGCTGGTCTTGGTTGAACATATGGTGTCTGTCTCTAAGTGAAAACATTCTGTAATTGAATCTGAATCTCTCAGTCTCACCATTCCTGGCTTCTCTTCTAATGAAATGGCTTGAAACAAA